TTCTCAATTTTCTTTGGATTTTTATGCTTATTTCATATTTTCTAAAATAATTTATGTTTTCTTCTAATAATTATGGTTTTATTATTTTATTTTCGATAAAAAAATTAGTAAAACTTCATACAACTTTTATTATATATATATATATATATATATATTAGGGTGGTTCACGTTTATAGAGGCTAACATTTTTTTTGAGAAATTTATGATGAGTACCCCCCCTATTTTTTTATGTGATGAGAAATAATGTTTCTGCGAAAATTTGGACTTGATAACTCAACCCCTTCACGTGCCGCAATAGGGTTAAATTATGGCCCAAAGGGGTTTTTTTCAGTTTTTTTTTAATTATTTCAAAAACTAAAACTTTTACAAAAAAAATTTTAAATTATAAATTATAGAAAAATATACTGTCTACAAAATATGTTTTATAAATTCTATTCTATCCATTATTTCATATGAAAAAACTATATAAATGCCTAAGTGTAATGAAATATTTTGTTTATACGTAATACTTATTCTCAAATATATGTGTTTTTTCCAAATTAAGATTATGACTTTTAATCGTAGTTTTTAACTCCGAATTATCGCGATAACAATGATTTTATCTGTTATTACTTTATCGTCAAACCAGAATTTAGGTTGTCACAATATTGTATAACGTAGTCACTAGTCAGTATATTACAATAATTTGTGTAACATTCGCTTTGTGATATTCAATATTTATATTTTTGTATTTTACGTAATTGTTTTTAATATGTCTAAACGAAAAATTTATTTAATAGAATCAATTAAAAATCAAATTACGGGTAGCAAATTACCATCAGTTAAAGACTGTTTAAGTGTTCTATTTTTTAATCTGAGGTTAGTAAAATTAAATGTAAACGACGGTGCCGCACTAGTTATTGACGAGTGTTTAATTTATTGGAGAAAAGCAAGAATTCCAACTCGTGATCGTTTGAATTGCATAAAGAAATTAAAAAAAATTTACGAAGATTGGCGTAGCTTAGAGAAAAATGCAAAAAGAACCGGAGATTTATACAAGCAAAGAGAAAAAAACTTTGTCGATTGTCTAAATGATTTGTTTGATATATCACATGCTAATGCGGTAATCATGATGAAAAATGAGGAGGACATTGCATTTTTAAATTTACAAAGACAAAAAGGTCGTCCAGGTTGCATGGTTGGTAAAGATATAATATTGTCCAAGGCAGAAGAGAGGACTGAATCTCGTTCAGTAAAAATAAATACAAATCTTACTCCGACTATTGAACTTGAATCTGGTATGTAAAAAATATTTAAATAAATTAAATAATATTTAAAATTAATATAAATTTGTTTTTGATGATAGTTAATTACGATAATTTGTCTACGAGTTCGGACGAAAATGAAGAATTAGAAAATTTGGAAGAACACGAAGAAAGTTATGAAGGACCGTCTGAAACTAAAAGGTCAAGAAAAAATTTAATAACATCCCGAGTTACTGCAGCATTGGATAAATGCAAGGTAAGTGACCGGGACGCTATTCACATTATAACAGCTATATTGGAATCTCTATCTTTAAACATAAATTATTTCGTTCTTAGTCGGTCATCTGTTAAAAGAGCTCGCGAAATGTTTCGTAAAGAAAGCGCTACCTCTATAAAGTCCAAATTTTCTGATATTAATTTAGATTTTGTAGTTATACATTGGGATTCTAAAATTTTGACTGATATAACGGGTAAATCAAATATAGACCGGCTACCAGTTGTTGCCACAGCCCCCGGCATAGAGCAACTACTTGGAGTCCCTGGCCTCACATCGTGTACGGGATCCGAGGTATCATCTGCAGTTTATGACATATTACTCGAATGGTCGTTGGAAGATAAAATTCAAGCTATGGTAGTTGACACCACTGCTTCTAATACGGGTCGATTGAATGGTGCATGTATTCTTTTAGAACAAAAATTAGAAAGACAACTTTTATTATTAGCGTGCCGTCATCATATGTATGAAATTGTCTTAGCAGGTGTTTTTTCTGAATCAAAGCTTTCTGCTATGTCCGGTCCAGATATACCTCTTTTCAAAAAATTCCAAAAAAATTGGCCAAACATAGATAAGTCAAACTATTCCATTTTTGAAACTGATCAAGCGATTTATGACAAACTAAAAGATGTATCTACGGAGGTATTGTTATTTGCAGAAAAAAAAATAAGGGAAGAATTACCTAGAAATGATTATAAAGAGTTTTTGGAATTAATTATAATATTTCTAGGAGGAAAACCTTCTAATGGTACCAACTTCCGACAACCTGGCTCCTATCATCTAGCAAGGTGGATGGCGAAAGCCATTTACTGCCTAAAAATATTTATGTTTAAACAACAATATAAATTAATACCTAGAGAAGAATCGGCAATCAAAGAAATATGTTGTTTTATTATTACATGTTACGCAGAACAATGGTTTAACTGCATGAATGTTATTGAGGCACCATTAAATGATATTATTTTTTTAAAAAAATTAGTGTCATATAAAAATATCAATAAAAAAATAGCGGATGTAGCGATAAAGAAATTTACTAACCATTTATGGTATTTAAATGACGAATGTATATAATTTTCATTATTTGATGAACGAATTAAAATAGAAGAAAAAAGAAAAATGGTTGAAATTTTAAAAGAAAATAATGATGATAATAATATAGAACCTTTAAAAAAATTGCCATTAAAGCCAGAAGAAATAACAGATTTTTTAAATCGCGATTTACCAACAGACTTGTTTACACCACATACATTCAGTACATTTTCTCGATTCAATATTTCTACTGATTTTTTACAACTAGATCCACTTGAATGGCCCAACAACGATAGCTATAAAAAAGCACGAAGTATCCTAATTTCATTAAAGGTAGTTAATGACACAGCTGAAAGAAATGTCAAGTTGATGGAAGAGTTTAATCAAAAAGCGACAAAAAATGAAGAACAAAAGCAATACTTATTACAAGTTTGTACCAATAAATATTAGTTTTAACTATGATATTAAGTAATTAAAAAATATAATATAACATAATAAAACTTATTTTTCAGATTGTTCAAGACTACAGAAAAAGATATCCATCATTTAGCCGACAATGTCTATCAAATTTATAATAAAAATGTGCTTAATATTTTTGAATAATAGTAAAAAATATTTTTCAGTATCATAAAATATTTTTTATATTCATTTTTCTATACGAAATAATGGATTAAATAGAATTTGTATAATAACATATTTTGTAGACAGTATATTTCTCTATAATTTATAATTTAAAATTTTTTTTTGTAAAAGTTTTAGTTTTTAATATAATTAAAAAAAACTGAAAAAAACCCTTTTGAGCCATTATTTAACCCTATTGCGGCACGTGAAGGGGTTGAGTTATCAAGTCCAAACTTTTACAGGATTATTTTTTCTTATCACTTAAAAAAATGGCAGGGTACTCATTTTGAATTTTTTTAATAAGTTTTTTTGGACCACCCTAATATATATATATATTTTTAGATTGAAAAAATTACAATCCATCAAACACAAAACATTAAGCCAAACAAAAAAAAATATTTATTTTTGCATATTTAACATTTTTCATGCATATTTTGTCTTTTTTATATCCTATAACTTCCGATCCCTAGTTATAATATATTATAATATTTAATATATTTGTATATTTAATAAATTGAACATCATCATTACAAAATTGCTATCTGGGGAATAAAAAATACATAATTTATTGATAATTATTAATTACTTATGACTTATCTAATGGCCAAAAATGTATTATAATTTATGTATTTATAATATAAATTTAATATATAAAAATAAGTTTACTTAAATAAATCATGTTTATTTTTCCCAAATGATCCAAGCTCCAGTGTTCATAGTGATAAGCCAGTTGAACAGAGCATGTCTACACCTAGTTCTTTTAAAGAAACTGGTAAGTACAAATCTTATATTTAATAATATTTACTCGTGTGTTCAAAAAATGATTGAAAATGTAATATATAATTAGATTTTGGATAAAATAATTATTTTATTTTGTTTAAATATTTTTCAGTATTTCTAAATGATTCAAGCTCCAGTGTTCATAGTCATGAGCCAGTAGAACAGAGCATGTCTTCACCTAGTTCTTTTAAAGAAACTGGTAAGTACAAATCTTATGTTAAATTTAAAAATTTAAAAATTAAATTTAAATTAGTTAAAACCAAAAATTGCTTATACAGAATTATATTTATAGAAATTGAATTTGAGGATGATCCTGCTGCTTTTAGCCAAATAAAAGTATTAACACCAGATCTTATTGACTATTTTTTCAAAAAAGGACCATCTCAACCGTCTTCAAATGATCTTCCCAGTAAAATATTTCCAAAAGATATCCATGGCCGATGTTTTCATGAAAACTTGTATTGGAAGAATTCTTTTAGCGGAGAATTGTCTAGGAGAAAGTGGCTATCATACTCAAAAAAATTAAACAAAATTTTTTGTCATTATTGTGCTCTCTTTGGAAAAAATGAACAAATAAACTGGAGCCGTGAAGGGTTTTCTAATTGGAAAAATGCATCTGCCAGAATTGTTGTACATGAAACATCGGAAGCACATATTATGGCATCCCTCAAAGCAATCTACAGGAAAGCAGCTTTTCCATTGATACCATCTTTAACAGAAAAATCTGCAATGATTGCTATTCAAAACAAGGAAATTGTTAGTCATTTAATTGACATAACATTGTTCCTTGGAAGACATTGCCTATCATTTCGAGGACATAGAGAAGGCTGGAAAGATGAAATACGCGGAAATTTTAAAGATCTTGCAATTCTTTTGGCTAAATATTCTCCACCATTGGCAATGCATATTAATGAAATTCAAAACTGTGGGAGAAAGACTCAAAACTTTTTATCGTGGCAACGGCAAAACCAACTGATACCAGCCATTTCAACAAATATTAAAAATGTCATTCAGCAAGAGTTGTTTAATGCTCATTACTTTAGTATTTCATTAGACTCAACCTTCGATATATCAAAGAAAGAGCAGTTATCTATGGTTATCAGGTATATTAATAAGAAAACTGGTATAGTATGTGAACGTCTTATAGCAGTACGCCAGGCAATCTCTACTACTAGAAGACACTTGTTTACAATGTTTGAGGAAATTTGTGGTGAATTAAATTTAAATTGGAAGGAATTTTTAGTTGGGCAATCGTTTGACGGAGCTGCATCAATGCGAGGCCAATATAATGGTCTTCAGTCGTTCATTAAAGAGCAAAATCAATGTGCTACTTATGTGTGGTGTTGGGCTCATCGCTTTAATTTAGTGATTGTTGATGCAGTAAGTTGTTGTATTGAAGCACGTGATTTATTTGGCAACTTAGAAATGCTATACGACTTTATTGGAAGTAGCAAACACCGTGTTAATCTTTATTCTAGTTACCAAAAAAAAAATTATCCAGGAAAGCCGTTAAGACAATTACAGAGAGTTGAAACAACTCGTTGGTCATCACATGCATCTGCACTACAAACTACTTTTGATACGTTTGATGCTATAATTGATACTTTACATAGTCTAGAAATTGACGATGCCTCTCATCGTGTCTGCAGTGTAAAAGCTAATGGCTTAATGGAGTATTTATTATCAGAGCGTTTTGTTTTGACTGGAATGTTGTTTATAAAAATATTTGATATGACCAGTCCACTTAGTAAATTCCTTCAAAAGAAAAATATTGACTTATTAGCTGCGGTTAACTATGTACAAAATATACTTACTAGAATTAAAAATCTTCGAAATGATATTAAATTTGGAAATTTAATTGATCAAAAAAATAAATTTATTCAATCTAAACAAAATGATTACTCTTTTACTCCTATTATTTCAACGCGAATAAAACGCATAAAAAAAATGGTTGACGAATCAGCATCAGATGAAAACATTACTGACCCTATTGATCATTTTAGAATAAAAACGTACATTGTAATTTTAGATATTTTGACAACACAAATAAGTGAACGTTTCAATGAAAATCTTTCACCATTGTATAAAGACATATCACTTTTTCAAAGAAAACGCTTAAGAGAAGTTGAAAAACTTTCTTCTAGTTTACCTGTGGATGCATTTAATGCATTTGGTAGTATTTATGGGAAGTTTTGTTCAGCTGACATTCTTAGAAAAGAATCTACAGTTTTGAAGTGTATATTTTAGTTTTGAAAACCTAATAAAACTTCCCCAAAAACTTCATGAGAATGATATTTTACATTATGACACAGAAGAAGAAGAAAAAGAAGAAGAAGATGAAGAAGAAGAATAAATTAGAATAGCTGAAGAAAACCAAACAACCATTAGTACCATTTATGCAGTGTGTCATTCTACAGGACTTAAAGATGTTTTTCCAAATATTTATATTGCTTTAACTATAATATTAACGTTTCCAGTTTCAAGTGCCAGTCCAGAGCGAGCATTTTCAAAATTGAAATTAATCAAAAACCGATTAAGAAGTACTTTGAGTGAAGATAGATTAGAAGGACTAATGTTGATAACATGCGAGAGGGATGTTCCAGTAAACACAGATGAAGTTATAAAAATATTCGCTTCATACTCTACAATTTTAAACAAACAATTATTATAAATTTATTTTATATCTTATATTTTTTTTATATTTATTTATTTTTAAGTTAAATTGTTAAAACAAAGTGTTTAATCTAAAAAAACTGATTAATAAATAACTATTAAATTTATTTTTTTTTTAGCATTACAAGCCATTAGGACCTTTTACTGTCAATACTAAATTCTTTCATCCTTCATCCTCCTTCAATTCTTCCATTCTTCTTCAAATAACTATTAAATAAATAATACAAATTAAATAACAACTGTATATTTACTTATATATATTAATCACTGTATATTTTATCTTAACTGCTCTATTTTATAAGAAATTAAAATTTGTAAGTGGCATTGTCTAGAGTTGGAAGACCTGCCCATTTATACGTTTATGCACCACAAAATAAAACTCGGAATGTGGTATACCAAGAGGTTTTGACTTAAGCCATATTAAAATTGAGCAACTTCGTAAAGAGTGATTTGTAAATATTATTATTATTTTTTTATTTATAATTCAGCTACTACTACTATTTAGCACTTAATAGCATTAAGTAAAATACTTTTTTTTTCTTCTGTAAAACACACAAATGTGTGTTGATTTAACAATTTAATTTTGAGAAAGCAAAAACTACACACGGGCGAAGCCGGGTTATTCAACTAGTATAAATACCTACAGGGCCGGTGCGAAAAATTATTCATGGAGAGTGTTAAAATAATAAAATGCCGACTTAAATATTTATTTTACCTATCTGAATTTAATGAGACATTTTTGTAAATAATTTGTTAAGTGTAAATAACTAATAATAAACAAGATTATATAATAAGTTAATTTTTTTTAAAATACTTTTTCAGTTCATGACAAATAAAAACAAAATTAAATTTATTTAAGAAAAACTTTCCTAGTTTACAAAAACATCCTATTAAAATTATAATTTGTAAGTAACTAACAAACGTATTTAAATTTATAGTTCACACTTCTATAGATATAAAAAAAAAATTAAATCTTTTAATGCAGCCCAATTGATTATAAGATCTTCCAAATTTAAGTTATCAATGATATCTTTGGCCGAGTTTAAAATCATGAGGTCATCAATACTATTTGCTGCCATTATTGTACGAAGTTGGTTTTTAATAATTTTTAGTTTACTAAACGAACGTTCATTAGAGGCTGTTGTCACGGGGGCTGTAAAACTTCATCGACAAAGTAGTGAATTTGCTACAGGAACAAGAGTTTTCAAAGATTCAGAAACATTCAAAACCTTCTCATGTTCATATTTTCATGTTCCGTTTTATGACGAATTATGTTTATTTGACATAATATAGCATCGTAATCAGTAACCAATGAAGTTTCGTATAAAGGTGGAAATAATCCACAAGCTTTTTCGACAACTTCAGTTCTAATATCACTTTTTATTATTATACTTAATATTTTAAATATGGGTTCAACTATTTTAAAAAAAATCTCTTAAATTATTAGCAGATTCATTAATTAACGTGTCCAATACCTCTTTAAACTCTTTCCTATTAAATGTTTGTAAATTAAATATTGCTTGCGTAGAAGAATTACAGTCAATTTTTTTTTGGTAAATGTCGTTGTCTGTGAAACTTATTAAAATCTGCATTAGAATCAACGTCAAGTTTTTTAGCAAATATTTCAGCACTAGTTATAATATTATTAATTTGAGACTCATCTTCATTTATTTCTTTTAAGGATTTTATGCAAGATTCTATTAACAGAATAGCGTCGATAATATTTAAGTTTTCAGTTTCGAGTTGTTCGGTTAAAACTTTCATTTGATATATATGTTTCATTAAATAAATACTTACTATAAAATCAAATAATAACATTTTTTTTTCGAAACCTTGAGCTCGTGTTTTATTGTCAATGTTTGTATCATTAATTAATTTTTTCAATACGTCTAGTATATATTCAAATAAAACCCAAACAGCCTTAATCGATTCAGCACGTGCAGTCCACCGTGTTATCGATAAATTACGTAACTTTAATTTGATATAAATTTCCAATAATTTATTGTTTAAATAAAAATAACGCTTAGTACTTGAAGTAAAATACACATATATACTTTCTAATACTGAAAAAAAATGACTAATTGTGGTGCTAGCAGAACAACTATGTTCAATAAATGTATTTGTACGATGTGCTTGACAAGGCATGAAAGGTATGTTGTATCCAACAATTCTTGATAGCATAGCTTGTGTACCTAGATTTTTACCGGATATGTTACTTGCAAAATCGTACGACTGGAACGCAATGTTATTCAAATTAAGTGAATTTTGGGACAAAACATCAGATATTTTACTTGCTATACCTTTTCAAGTTTTATCGACAATTTCATCAATACCATTCAAACGTTCACAAACTTCAGCTTTCGAGTTAACATAACGTAAACAGACACTTAATTGATCTTTATGTGATAAATCAGGCGTTGTATCAGCCATGATTGAATACATGCCAGCTTCTTTAACTTCTTCAATTATGTTATTTTTTGTTTCTTTAGCTAATAAATGTATAAATTCATTTTGAGAGTCATGACTTAGATAGGTTGAGTGGTATCGTCGAAAAGAAGAGTCATTTAACCATGTTTTCATAGTTGAATTGTGACGTGATATGAGCAAAACAATCTGATAAAAATTTCCATTTTTTTTCGTCACCATCGCCTCTAAAAGCTAGTTTTTGTCTAGCTAGTGTACGGGATACGTCAAAAAAATTCTTATGATATTCTTTTTGCTTTGAAAAATGTATAGCGTTTTCTCGGTGTTTTTTATTTAACGAATTGTCTATGTGGTTAGAATGCAAAACAAAATTACTATAGTCGCTTAATGCAGCTTTATGAGCATTCGAAGTAAAATGTTGTTCAAGCTTTCCCGGTTTTTTTGTTCCGTGAGATTTAATTTTATGCCAATATCTTATTCCAGTTGTTGACCACAAAGGATCAGCAAATGATCGATTAGGCCCACTTAGAAATAAATCATAAATATAACAATTTGCCGAATCATTAAATATACTATATTTTAAGTATGGATACTCTTTATATCAATTTGAACAAAATTGTCTTTGTTTTACTTTCAGAAATATCAATATTAATGGGGAATTTTACCAATTTTGGTTGAAAAGGTCCTAAACTCAATAAGTAATTTCTTTGAGAACTTGATTCAATCTTTCCTTGTTTTCCGGGATCGTGGTCTAATAAATTATCATTAATATTATCTTGTGGTAATTTAGATAAATTGGGTTCGGGCTGTTCAGAAGTTCTTTAGCTAATACATTTGTTGCATAATTAATATATTCTGTTGCTTTCGTTTTAAATAAAGAAATAATGTCAACACTTTCAACTAAAAAAGCTATAGGATTAGGAACTGTATCACTTTTAATTTTGTTCAATAGATCAGTGCAGATATTCAGATCACAGAGTAATGACTCGAAAATTCCTACACAAATAACCCACGTTTCATCTTTAGTTGTATCACCCATATCGTCTTTTTTTTCCGGAAAATTCGTTAAATTATCAAAAATATCAGTTTTTTGCACTTTGGCTAATAATATTTCATGATCTGTATCCTCAATAGATGATTTTATATATTCACTACATTTGTCCAACTGAGCAGGAAGTAATTCTAATTTGTCATATTTTAAACATGAGTCAAAATCGATTTTATTTTTATTTAGATCAAACGATTCAGATGATAGTTGACCAACTTAATTTTCCTATGTTTTTGGATTTATGTCTGTATTATTTTCATTTTTCTATAAAAATAGATTATTTAATTTTATTTATAATTTTTACTAATTAGTTTATCCTATTTAAAAGTATGAGTTGTAAATATACCATAACAATAAATAAATAAACATGTATAATAAGTAGATACATACAATATACGCATTTATACATGATGCGTCAGATGCGTGTGTGTATTAATTTTACGTATACAATTTTAATCATCTAACTTGCCTCAAGCATTCAAGCCCATATTTACTATATTGCGCTCGTATGCTTATTGTAAACTGTTTTACAGATTGTATATATTTTATTAAATGTTAAAAAAAAATTATTAATAGGTAAATAATACAAACACTTCAAAATCAAAGTATAAATCACTGCTACATTTATACAGGTACCTAACCTAACCTATTTAGTATATTTTATTAGATCCGCTATTTTTAATACACATTTAAAATTATTTCAAATTGAATTTTATTATGAAGGTACCTACCTACCTAGTTTCAATAGTTTCTTAAATACGTATCAATAATGTACAAACACTATTCTATTCTAATTATTTTTAGATATCGCATAATTAACATACGAACGGATTATCTGCTGCTCCATGGTGTTTCACCTTAACCTTTGCTCCGTTGTGCTCTTATTTTTTGTGCTTTCGACGGTAGTCGTCATCAAATGTACTACCACAAGACAAGCACTCAAATTTTATCCTCTTCCTTTTGCGTTTTTCTTTTTCAAAATTACTCATAAAATAAATTAGCTAATTTAGAAATTGATACTTTATATTGAGTAGCTAGGAAATGGTTCACCACAATAATAAAATGCTTTGTACTGTACGTCTATCCGTCGGGCCCGAGCGATTAGTAAAATGATAAGCAATGTACAATAATGTACACACAGCCTTTTAATAAATATATTTGTATACTATTCACAACAACCCATAGACATTTAAATGTTCAATGGTAATTCCTTATTTCATATTTCAGTCGACAGTCCCTTATCTTCATTGATACGAAAATACGATAAATGATAAATTATTTACATCGACATGTTTTTATATTTTTCATTTTACGAAAAACAATTTGACGACCGCTATTTAATTGTAATTGTGCCGACTCGATACAATCAAATTTGCCGGGTGTGACATCCCCTATACCCCCCCCCATGACGCCGGCCCTGTATACCTAAAAGGTTTTAAAAGTATTTTCGCCCTGGACCTCCCAAATCCTAAGGACGGTGCAGCATATAAATAAATATTCACAGAAATATATATATATTATTTCATCTACAAGTAGTTTTATTGATAGCAGTATTAAATAGTCACTTTAATTAATTAACCACCTGTAAAATGTTAATTGTATTGTTATTCTTGGTTAATCTTTTTATGTAATAAATTAAATAATTGAACATACAACTCAATGGTTAGTAATATATTTAACATTATTGAACAAGAATTATCAGTTATTCTCTCATTTACAATTAATATTGTGCTATAATTTATCTCG